TTAGCAGGCCTTCTGTGAGATCATACCAAGAGAGAAAACACACTAAACACAGACATAGGTGAACTCGATGATGGCATTTTCAGAGACATTATTTTATTTAAAATTGTTTTCATTGAGTTTATTGGTACCTTTTAGGTATATAGTACAGTTACATTCATCATTGGGATCTTGTAACTTTACGTGACATATCTTGGTTCTTATTTTTTCCTCATTTCCCTGCCCACCCTTTACCTCCTCCACCCTTCTCTATTTACAGACTTTGTTTCTGTTTTTTCCTTTTCTCATATTTTTTCTTTTCCCTTCTTTCTTTTTCCTTACCCTTCCCACTTCCCCTACTCCTTTAACCCTTTTCTTCCTATTTCACATTATCAGTTATATAATTTGAACCTTATTTACACTTTTAGTTTTTCACACAAGAAAAATGTACACATATGTGTCCTGTTTATTGCACTTAAGAGTATGGCCTCAATGTGCATCCATTTAGCTATAAATGTCTCTAGTTTCTCATTCTTTATGGCTGAGTAGTGCTCCGTTTTATAGAAAACCACGTTTTTTATCCAGTCTTCAGTTGATGGGCAAATGGGCTGTTTCCAAGTTTTAGCTATTACAAACTGTGCTGCTATAAACATGGGTGTGTATATATCACTGTGGTATGATTCTTTTAATTCTTTTGGAAAGATACCCGACAGAGGGATGGCTGGGTCAAATGGGACCTCTAATCCTAGTTGTTTGAGGTATCTCCATATTGATTTCCGCAGTGGTTGCACCACTCTACACTCCCACCAACAATGGAGAAGGGTTCCTTTCTCCCCACGACCCCAGCATTTGTCATTGGTTGATTGCTTGATAGCAGCCATTCTTTCTGGGGTGAGGTAGAATCTCAGTGTTTCATCTGCATCTCTCGAATGACCAGCGATGTTGAACATTTTTTCATATATTTATTTGCTGCTTTTATTTGTTTGTCTGAGAAATGTCTGTTCATTTCACATGTTCATTTTTGAACTGGGTCTTTATATTTGTGGGGTTCTGTTTTTTTGAGTTTTTTATATATTCTAGATAGTAGACCTTTGTCTGAGGAACAGCTGGCAAAATTTTTTTCCCAAATTGTAAGTTGTCTCTTAGTTCTGGTTTTTCTTGCAGTGCAGAAGCTTTTTAATAAGATGAGATCCCAGTTGTTGATTGTTTGTGCTAGTTCCTTTGCTACTGAGGAATTGTTCATAAAATCTTTTCTTATGCTAATGTCTTCGACGGTTCTACCTACCTTCCAGCAAGTTTAGTGTTTCTGTTTTAATATTTAGGTCTTTAATCCACTTGGATTTTAGTTTAATGCGTAGTGAAAGATAGTGGTATAGTTTTAATCTTTGGCAGGTTGAAATCCAATTTTTGCAACACCATTTTTTGAAGAAGCTATTTTTCCTCCAGTGAGGATGGTTGGCTCCTTTGTCAAAGATGAGGTAGCTGAGTGTCTCTGGAGTTGTTTCTTCATCTTTTATTCTATTCCATTGATCCTCGGGTCTGTTTCTTTGCCAGTACCACGCTGTTTTTATCACAGTAGCTTTGTAGTACAGTTTCAAGTTGGGGATTGTTATACCCCTGCCATGTCTCTGTTGCCTAGAATGGCTTTTGCTATTCTAGGTCCTTTCTGGTTCCAAATGAATTTTTGGATTGTTTTCTAAGGGACATAATTTAAAGTAACTATGAATGTGTTCAGAGTTACCAGAAAACTATAATTTATTTTTTAAATAATCCAATAATAATGGAGAGTTATAGAATATTACTTTTTCATGAACACAGAAAGAAATCTGAAGAAAATAGTATCAAACCAAATATATA